CACACACACACACACACACACGCACATGACAAAATGAGAGGATGAGGCAGGAAGGGATAACTGTATTATTCTGTCATTTTCATTTTGTCGGCCTGTCCAAATGGCCAGAGGGGGCACACGACCCACGGAGCACACGAACACTGGAAAGGCGCCCCATGGGGGGGGGGAGAAGAAGAAGAAGAGGAAGAAGAGGAAGAAGAAAGGCGGGCACCGGGGGAGGGGAGGGAAGGGGGGAAGCAGGAGAAGGGAGACATGGCTCGCCCCTTCCCTGCCCTGCCCCGACCCCGAGGAGGGGGGAAGAGGACGGAGGGAAGATGAGGGCCGCCACCCGGGAGGAGGAGGGGGGGGGGGGGGGGGGGGGGGGGGGGGGGGGGACAGGGGAAGTGGCAGGGCGCGCGGCGCAAATTACTTGGCCTGCTCGGCGGCCTCGACCTCGGCGATCATCTTGTCGATGACCTCCTGGTGGAAGCTCTTGCACTGGGGGCGCTTGAGCTTGAAGGTGGGGGTCATGCAGTCGTTCTCGACGGAGAACTGCACCGGGGTCAGGTGGATCTTCTTGACCTGCTCGAAGCCCTTGAGATCGAGCTCCTTGCCGGTCTTGACCATGTCCTTGAGGACCAGATCCACGGCGGCCGGGTCATTGCAAACCTCCTCGAAGGACTTGCCGGCCAGGTGGGGCTGCTCCTTGGCCCAGGGCATGAGGGTCTCCTCGTCGGGAATGACAATGCCAACGAGGAAGGCCTTGAGGCTGTCACCATGGACAAACACCTGGGCCACGTACTTGGCCTTGCCGTAGACGATCTCGATCTTCTCCGGGGCAATGTACTCGCCCTGGGCCAGCTTGAAGATGTTCTTCTTCCGGTCGATGATGCGCAGGCGGCCGCGCTCGTCCCAGAGACCAATGTCACCGGAGTAGATGTACCCATCGATGATGTCGGCGCCTGGGGGTGGGGAGGGAGATGCGATGGGGCGGGGAAAGGACAGAGTCAGTGCCGAGCGTGAGAAGATGGCCCCCGCCCCCCTGCGGCGGCTCCTGGGACGAGGGCTGCTGGCGCCAGTAGAGGAGACCCCACACACACACACACACACACGGCCCTCAGCACGGCTGAGCCCCGTCTGAGGAGGGAGACGCTCGCGACCGGGGAACCAAGCCACAGCCGTGGGTCAATGTCACACCTCTCTCCACGCCGAAGCGTCCCGCTCCCGCGGTGAGACACTGCCACGGCAGCCACACACACACACACACACAC